ATCTAGGGTGAAACAGATCACCAGCCCAGGTTGGATGCATGAGACAAGTGCTCAGGCCTGGTGCACTGGGAAGACCCAGAGGGATGGGGTGGAGAGGGAGGTGGGAGGGGGCATTGGGATGGGGAATACATGTAACTCCATGGCTGATTCATGTCAATGTATGACAAAACCCACTGCAATGTTGTGAAGTAATTAGCCTCCAACTAATAAAAATAAATGAAAAAAAATATATCCTTTTCTTTTTTTTTATTATTTTGTTTTGTTTTGTTTTTTTTCAATATCCTTTTATGTAGAATGCCTGGAGCACTTCCTGTTGTTCTGACTGGACCCTGACTCACACTCCCACCAGAAAACTCTGGGATCCAGGAGAGCGGGACAACAGGTGGCCTGTCTGGACAAGAGCTCTCTGACCTGTGACCACAATCTCCAGGGGGTCGCTGGGTGCTGAACACGTAGTGGGGAGGTGGCTGTAGCAACCACGACACCTGTAGGTCCCTGTGTGTGCCTTGGTCACAGGGCCCATCAGGAAGTCCTTCCAGAATGTGATGCCCTGGAGCTCAGGGACATTGGTTCTCTCAGCCTTGTGCAGCCTGAACCTGTCAAATCCGAGAGGGGAGTGGCACCGGAGAGTCACATGCTGTCCTTGAGGAACCACAGGGCTTGGCCAGGCTGACAGGGAGGGCTTGTCGTGACCACCTGGGGGAGAAGAATGCATGGTTTACAGTAGAAGATGGGGAACCCATTCCCCTTGCTGGGCTCAGAGGACCCTCCCCCTTCCCACATCTCTAAGGCTCCTTTTCAAACCAGGGGAACCCGTGCTCCATGGAGATTCCCACACCACAGAGGCAGCACCTCCTACATGAAAAACGTCTGCTGAGAATTCTGAGTATGCGTGTGTGCTCAGTCGTGTCTGACTCTCGTGACCCATGGACTGTAGCCCGCCAGGCTCCTCTGTCCATGGGATTCTCCAAGCAAGAATACTGCAGTGGATTGCCATTTCCTTTTCCAGGGGATCTTCCAACCCCAGGATTGAACCCACATGGCCTGCAGCCCCTGAATTGCAGGCAGGTTCTTTACCACTGAGCTACCGGGGAAGCCTGAGAATTTTGAGCAAGTGTTGACTTACAGACTCTTCCTGGGTGTTGATCATGTAAAATGTGTTTTATAAAAGAAGACGGAGTAGACACCCAATGGAAGAATAACCTGTGTGGGTGGAATGATGTCAGCTTACATGAGAAACGCAGGACATGATGGAGCCTGTGGTAGAACCTTCTGGAATCAGTGGGCAGGGCGTACGGTTCTCCCCTTCTTCTGAATGGAGGACAGCAGCAACAGTTCTCTGCAATGTCCACCCCATGGAACTGCTGGGGAGCTTGAGTCATCACCCTGTCCTCCAAGGGTCTGTTGTCCCTGGCCCTGCTGTCTTCCCTCAGTTTACAGAGAGCACCAGTCCCTCCCAGTCACCCCAGCTCTGACCATCACAGTCTCCTGTAGGTGTCCATAGAGCCTGGCTCAGCAGAGGGAAGAGTGTCTCGGGGAGGGTCTCTGGACCAGAACTGGGGACTAGATTTCGCTGAACGTGTTAGTCAGCCAGTCGTGTCTGACTCTTTGTGACCCCATGGACTATAGCCCACCAGACTCCTCTATCCATGGAATTCTCCAGGCAAGAACACTGGAGCGGATGGTGCTGCTTCTGCTGAACGGGAGGCAGCAGCTGAGCAGGCCTGAAGCGTACACAGGATGCCATGATGACGCCCAAACTACTGTCATGTGCAGGCTGACCACAGGACGGAAAGGTGACTCACACAGGCTCTTCTTAGCTTAAAAAAGGCAGTGTGTGGGGGCCCCGGCTGAGGGAGGAATTGGGCTTCCTGGAACATTTTCAGACCAGGACTGTCTCTTCAGATTGTTTAACAAACTTGAACCACAACCTCTGACCCAACCCACCTATGGCTACGCTTTCAAGTTTACCAAAAATGTATGCGGCAATATCTAATCTGCTACGACTCTGATGCACTGAATTATTTTCTGTTTTCACTCTTGATATGATTTTCATAGAATTTCTTATTTCATTCTTATATTAAAAAACTTCTAAGCATTATATTTTATCTTTAATGTTCAACCATCTCTATGACATCTGCAGTAAAAATGTCTTATTGAAAATGCTAATTTCATGATTTCTTTTTTAGTTTATGGATTTTCCTATATTGTATTTTCTTTTCCCTGTATGTATGCACTGCGAAGTTCTTTGAACATGTAACAATTTAAAAAAAATTATGTATACTTGGCTTACAATATTATATTAGTTACAGGTGTATTACATTGTGATTCAGTATTTTCATAGATTACACACAGTATAAAATAATATAAAATATTGACTATATCCCCTGTGCTGGACATTATAACCCTGTGACTTATTTATTTTATAAATGGTTATTGGTATTTATTAATCCACTCACTCTACATGCTTTGCTGCCCCTCACACGCACCCCTCTCTCCTCTACCTTCCAGTAACCACTAGTTTCTTCTTTGAGTCTGTGAGTCTGATTCTCTTTTGTTATATTTGTTCATTTATTTTTATTTTCTTAATACTTATTTTTGTTTATCTGGCTGCATCAGATGTGAGTTGTGGAACATGGTATCTTTTTAGTTGTAGCTTGTGGGATCTAGTTCCCTGACCAGGGATTGAACCTTGACCCCCTGCATTGGGGGTCTTATTCTCTGGACCATAAAGGAAATCCCTATTTTGATTTTTAGATTCCACATATAAGTGAAAACATACAGCATTTCTCTTTCCCTGTCTGAATTATTTCACTAAGCATAATGCCCTCCAAGTCAATCCATGTTCTCAAAAGACAGGACTTTGTTCTTTTTATTTATTTATTTATTTTTTTGGATGTTCAAGTTGATTTTATTTTTTTTTTCCAGATTCTTCTTTGTGTGTGTGTGTGTGTGTGTGTGTGTGTGTGTGTGTGTGTGCTTTTATTTATTTATTTATTTATTTATTCCGACTTTGTTCTTTTTAAAACGCTGAAGGGGCTTCCTGGTGGCCCAGTGGTAAAGAATCCGCCTGCCATTGCAGGAGACATGAGAGACCTGGGTTCGATGGGTCGAGAAGATCCCCTGGAGAAGGGAACGGAAACTGATTCCAGTATTCTTGCCTGGAGAATCCCATGCACACAGGAGCCTGGGCGGCTACAGTCCATGGGTTGCAAAGAGTCGGACATGACTGAATCGACTTAGCATGCATGCATTCAGCCTCATATGGTTAGTGGCACCATACTGGCTATATCAAGCAGAGTATACTTCATCTTTTTATTTTGCCAAATAGCATCATCGTTTTTTTTCATGGAGGGCATTTTGTTTTAAAGATAGCAGTGTGCTCATGTCAATCCCAAACTCCCAATCTATCTGTCCCCCTACTCCTTCCCTCTGGTAACTCTAAGTTTGTTCTCTAAGTCTACAAGTCTGTTTCAGTCTTGTAAATAAGTTTACTCTTGTAAAAGGTTACTGAATAGAGGGGTTTTCTTTTATTGGTTTTGTTTTATTTTAAACTGAACAATTTGAAGAATCAACTGGCAAATTTTTTATGCTTTATTGGAATTTTAGAAAAAGTAGGGTGATCATGATAAGCTACCTAGTATGTGAGATTGATTATAGCATCTCCCCCAAACAGTGAGATAGTTACAATAGAGTCCTAGAATAGCCAGGCGATTATTAAGAGGTGGTGGGATTTTTGAAGATGATACTATAATTCTAGACTCCACTCCTCACCTCAGAGCTGCTGGGCTGCTTTGGAGGAGAAGTGTCCATGAGGAACCCCTTTAACAAGAGATCAAGGTCCTCGATTTGTAACACTGTGTGCTCAGAGGATGGGGCCAGGTCAGGAGCCAGCATGGTCTTGGTTTACATTGAATTCCTCATAGATACTGGGCTCAGCAGAGGGGTGCATGGGCTTCAGGGGAATGGGAGTGAACCATCTCTCAGAGAGGGTCCCGAGGTCCAAGTGAGCATATATCACGTCTTCTGCTGGAGAGTCCTGAGAGGAGAGAGGTGAGAATGATGGACTGAGACGTGATCTTCGTAAGCTGGGGCTTTGGGCATTGGAGGGGCTCGGGCTATGGCAAGGGCTTGGGCTGGGAGGACTCACCTCACTGTTCACTCTTCTGTCTTCCCTGGGCTCTCCTTCCATGATGGCAACATCTGTGAATGGAAGAGGGTCAAGGCTCTTCGGGGTGGAGGCAGTTATTACAGACCTCCGTAACTTTGATTGGGACAACAAAGCCAGAAAAAGGCAAGGGTGTGGCCCAGGTTGCTGAGCCTGTCCACTCCACTAAATGAAAAAAAAAAAACAAAACAAAATATTCCATAAACAAGCCCAGCCATTCGCAGACTATCTCAGGAACCTGTGCAAACCCAGGGACCCATCCTAGGTCTTCTGTTATGGACCATCCTCTTCTACATATGAGCAGATTCCCAAGATCATGTTGGGGAGAAAAATGGATTGTTGAAGTTGAAGGGAAGAACAGGGCTTGGAATGTCCCTGGTGGCCCAGGGATTAAGAGTCAATCTTCCAGTTCAGGGAGCATGGGTTCTATCCCTGGTGGGAGAACTGAGACCCCACATGCCTTGAAGCAACTATCCTCAATGCTACAACTGCTGAGCCCGCGAGCTCTGGAGCCTTGAACTGCACCCCAGCACTGCAGTGAGGATCCCGCATGCTGCAGCCAAGACCTGATGCAGCCAAGAATAAATCAACACATATTTTCATAAAAAGAACAGGGTTCCATGGGTCTCTGGAAGATGTTCCATCAGGGATTACAACAATGGAAATCAATTTTTAACCTTCAGAAAGTGAAAACGCCATGCTCTGCTATGAGCCCACCTCCCCCCTGGGTCAGATGATGCTGAGCTCACCACCTTCAGACTTACGATTTTGGGTAGAACACCAGTGACAGACAAGAGCAGCGAAGAGGAAGCTGGTAGAGGTGGAGGCTATGACAAGCCCAAGGACAACATACAGCATGCTGGAGTGCTCTTGAGGAAGCCCTGCTTCTGCCAACAAGCAAATGGAAGAAGGTCTGGTTATTCATTGAGTAGGCTGTCCCCCTACACACTGGATGTATTGTAACCTTGTGTCAAACTGTCAGCATCTGTCAACCTGATCAGTTATGGTCTCCACTTCCCAGGAGGTACCAAAGCATCCAGGAGAGATGCTAGCAGTGGATGAAGTAAAGAGGCCATGCAAGACAAGCAGAGGTCTGAACCAAGGTCCCCCAGGCATCAAAACAGTTATTCTCTGCTGCCCCATATGACAAGGCATGGCATTTTTGCATGAATGCCTTAATGATTAACCACGTTAATCCACAATGCATTTCCCCTCCATCCACATAGACCTGGAATGGAATCCTCAAGGAGACATGACACTTTTATAACTGAACTCTGGAATGTTTAGTTCATAAAACACTAACAGAAGAATAACAGACATTTAAGGTGCTCCCTAAAATTCTCCCCTTGCCCCCACCCCCACATCCATCCCCAAAGATCCTGGTGGAGAGAGGGTAAGCATCTCCTTTAAGCATTGGGTTAGGTCACTCTGACCAGCTTTGTGTAATTTAGACATTCCCAGTCACAGAGCATAAGAAGCTCAGTGGCCCCTGTGGTTCTAGGAAGACCACTGTCTCAAATGCTGACATGACAGGGACGTCGAGGAGCCCAAAGTCACAGAAATGGGAGGTGGTAGAACCAACACTCACACAGGAAGCCTCTGTCTTCTCAGAAATTTGCTAAGATAGCAGACCATCTTGCTTACCTTCTGTGGTGTGTGGGTCCATAGTTGATGGGTAAGTAGTTGTAGTGGATCCTAGGGGAAAGAAGACAGAAGGGGTGAGCAAGTAACCTTCCTCCTACCCACTGAATGAGGACTATTCTTTCTGGAATGTTGACCTCCTGCCTGTCCTTACTCCGTCATCCCTCAGAGCACTAATGGGGGAGGGGAGACCTTCTGGTCCCTCCACAAGAATTCATTGAGTAGACCCTCCACCCTAGGGAAGAGATGGTGGAAGGAAGCGGGAAGGATATGTCTGACAATGAAAGACAGCTGTAAGCAAGAAACATTCTCTCTGCTCTGGGAATGAGTATCTATGCTCCTTAATTGGGAAATCACCTGTGTCAGAGGTGCTTCTGGGAAAGCACTAAGCAAGGGGCAGATGCAATCTCTGATCTTCCCAAAGCAGCCCAGCCTCTCCTCTTCCTGGGTCTACTCTGACCCTTTTCTTTATCTTCGTGGATAGACAGGACACTGATGAGAAGCATCCATACAGGAGGTGGAAGAGGGTTGAGATGCCATCAACCATCTCTCTTCCTCTCTGGTTCTCATTGCCTCCGTTTCTGCAGAAGTCCTAAGGTCCCCTGACACCAGCACAAAACTCTTGAGCTAGAGTTCAGTGATAGAGTAAGATGTCAAGGAAAAAGCCAAATGGACTTTTTGCCTAGTGCAATCTCACTTACTATATTGTAAAGCATGGGTTCTCCATGCAAGAATCCCGGAGTGGGTTTCCGTTTCCTCGTCTAGGGGACCACGTTTTGTCAGGACTCTTCACTATGACCTGTCTGTCTTGGGTGGCCCTGCACGACATGGCTCATAGCTTCATTGAGTTACACAAGCCCGTTTACCAGGACAAGGCTGTGATCCACGAAGGGGTGATAGTGAAGGACAGAGGACTCTGTCATGCTGCAGCCCACGGGGTCGCAAAGAGTTGGACACAACATAGCGACTGAAGAGCAACAAGAAAGCTGGGCCAGGAGGAGGGTCCTCACCTGTGACAGACAGGAGCAGGGGGTCGCTGGCGTCTGACCACGCGTAGGGAGAGCGAGTGAAGGAGCCGTAGCACCTGTAGACTCCGCTGTGGGCTGGGGTCCCAGGACCCAGAGGGAACTCGGCCTGGAGTGCTCCATGGGGGCCCCGCCCTGCAGCGAGCGGATGCCCAAGGTTCTCCCCCTCCCTGAGCAGATGGAACTGGTCAAAGGTGCGCTCGGAGCTGCAGAGCAAGGTCACGTTCTCTCCTGACCTCACCACGGGGCCCCCCTGGGCTGAGAGAGAGGGTTTCTTGGACAGACCTGGAAGGAGGAGACCTTGATATTAGAGCACAATGTACCTCTGGTCCTAAATTTAGGACTAAAGCCTGAAGTGAGCAACAAGAGAAGCATTGCAATGAGAAGGCCGCCCATCACCAGGAGAGAAAGCCCCACAGCAAGGAATACCCGGCACAGGGGAAAATTCTTTAAAAATGGGTTGTCATTTAAAATCCTTTTTAAAAAACAATTTTTAAAATGGATTGCCATTTAATATAATTTTTTAAAAAAGAAATATATGTATATGAACAACTGAATCACTCTAATGTACAAGAGGAATTAGCATCTCAAATCGACTATAATTTAACAAAAAAAGCAAAAAGAAAATTAAAAAATCAACCAGATTGGGCTGCTCTTGAAAAACGGAACCTACTAACTACTGCTGGGACCATCAGAAAACATGATATTGACCCAGAAGCAGACATTATAGAGTGGAAATTGCCAGAATCTCACAGGATCTTTGACCACCTCATTCTTGAGGGAGTGTTCAGCGCAGCCCTGCCCACCCCCAGGGTCTGGAAGGGACCCCTTAGCGGGGAGGGTGGGAGGGACCACTCCCCCCTCTGTGCAGAAGGACGCATTAAACCACAAGGCTGAGCAACATCGAGGTTTTGACCTCTGTCCTGACCACCCAGGGTCCAGACTGCAAGGGCGTCTGGTACCACAGTGCTCCTGACAGAGGAAGGAAGCTCTGACATGAAGGCGGGAAGCCAGCCCCTTAAGCAACCAGCTCTGGCTGCCTGAGCCGGGAACTGCCCGGGTCCCTGCTCTGGTGCATCTTTCTCCATTGCTCGTTCTTTCACATTCTTGCTGCTTCACTCTGTCACCGGCTGTGTCTTCTCTTTACCACATGGCAGGTGCTCTGTTCTCTTTCCCTTCCGTGTTCACACCTCCTCTCTCTCTGGTTTGTCCCCTCTCCTGAGTTTCTGAGCGTCTCTGCATGCTTGTCATTGTCTCCCAGTACTGATGCTGGACTGGACACCAGACCTTCTGTGACACAGACAGCAGAGGGGACTGGTCTGGGCACACTCACCTGTGATGACGATGTCCACGGGGTCGCTGGGGGCTGACCACTCATAGGGGGAACGACTGAGAGAGCCGTAGCATCGGTAGGTGCCCGCACTCCCTAAGGTCATGGGGCCAATGGAGAAGTCAGCTGAAGCATGCCCGCCAGTGAACGTCTCTCCACGTGTCTGGAAATGCCCTATGCTGTTTTCCTGGTGCAGGATAAACTTGTCAAACAACAGCGGTGAATGACAGCGAAGGGTCACTTTCCCTCCTGCCCACACGAGGGGGCCTGGGTGGGCTGAGATGGCGGGTTTTGTGAACACACCTAGGAGCAAAGACTTTGTGAGCTTCAGTGAGTCACCCCGCCTCGGCGCTTCCCCTGACATCTGAAGGTGTGAAACTGTCCCCATGAACCACCAAAGCCAATACCCTTCCTGTGTGTTCTGTTGCATTTTCTTTAGGCTTGTTCTCAGGCTCTGGCTCATGCTTTTCTCTTTCTCTTTGCTCAAGACCTCCAGTCTCCTCTGTTTTATTCTAACCTCTTTAGCTATTAGATCTGCTCTCAGCTTCCTGCATGCATACTCAGTCACTTCAGTCATGTTTGACTCTATACGATCCCGTGGACTGTAGCCCACCAGGCTCCTCTGTCCGAGATTCTCCAGGCGACAATACTGGAGTGGGTTGCCATGCTCTCAGCTTCATCCCATCCCTAGTTTGCATTTGAGGGGCTCAGTGGGTTCTGAAAATGCATACACCGTCTCCCTTCACATACATCTCCTATAACGTGGGTGATGACTGGCATCATTAGAAAGCAGTGGAGAAAAATGAAACATTTCCCATCTGTGACCCCACCTCATGGTTCTGGAACTCTTCCCTGGAACCCAGCTCCTTCACAGGGGACCTTAGCTCCCTGCTGGGTGGCAGGTGCTGGATCAGGGTCGTTCCCATCCTCCCTGCTGGCAGCCAGTGACCGCACCCTGTCTAACTCATGCTGAGGGGGGCTCCTCCTTCCTGCGCTGGGGCGCCCCATCCCTCTATTCAAACCCTGAGTTTAAAGTCTCAGACTGGGTACTCTTTCTCTGGCTCACTCCTGGCTGGGAACCCTGCGTAAGCCTTGGGTGCACTGGCATGTGGGCCTAAGGTAGGATTGCCGGCAGGCTCGGCCATCGCAGGCTGGGCTGGACCCCTCCTACCTGTGACCACAATCTGCAGGGGCTCACTGTGTGTGGACGAGTACGCTCCAGAACACGTGTAGGACCCAGCATGTTCTCTGGTCACTGGGCCAATGGTGAAGGGCTTGAAATGATATCCCTGGGTCTTCGACAAACTGGTCCTGTCTCTTTTGTACAGTCTGAATATCTTAAATGGAGAATCAGAGAGACACCGAAGAGTCACAGTCTGTCCTAAGGCAACCACGGGGCTTGGCCAGGCTGACAAAGAGGGCTTGTCATATTCACCTAGGACAGAAGGAGGCACAGGCTTTGAGAGGCAAATAAGAACAGTCTCCTCTCCCCCCTGCCCCCATGGGCACTTCCCCTTCAATTCTTCCATCTCTTCTCCCCTAAACTGCATCACCTTGATGCTCAATGACACCTGGGGTTTGGGGACAGACAGAGACACAGTCAACCCAGGATGGACATCATGGAGATTCTAAGAATGTGATTCTCAGAAGCGATTCTTCTCAGGAGAAGAATCATCCCCTGGGTTGACAAAATTTTGAGAAACTTTCTCTCAAAACACAAAACACTGGGGATTCCCTGGCGGTCCAGTGATTAGGACTCAGCAATTTCTCGACCAACAGCCCAGGCTGATCCCTGATCACGGAACTAAGATTCTGCAAGCTGCATGATGCAGGCTAAAGAAAACACCACAGAGAAATTGATGCATGGAAAAGTGAAAGGACTTCCCTGTTGGATTTATTATAGCTCAAATGGTACAAAATCTTCCTGCAATGCAGGAGAGCAGGGTACAATCCCTGAGCTGGCAAGATCCCCTGAGCAAGAGAATGGCATTCCACTCCAATATTCTTGCCTGGAGAATCCCATGGACAGACGAGCCTGGTGAGTTCCAGATCATGGGGTCGCAAAGAGTTGGACACGATTGACGACTAACAGTAACAGAACTAACAAGTGAAAAAGCCACTGGACTGAAAAGAAGGAAGGAAACCATGAACCTCACTCCTTTGTTAGCTAGCCTCCATCAAATGTGGGACCAGGTCCAGGTGGCCCTGCCTGATGCCCAGCCCCTCCCCTGGGGTCAGGTCTAGAGGGCGGTCCTGCAGATCCTGTTGGTAAGGGCCGGTTGGAGAGGCCATGAGCCACCTACTCTGAGAGGGGTCCGTGGGGTGAGGCCTCTTGCTCCCCTCTCATGATAGAAATGGCACTCAGGGGACCCGGGATCCACAAGGCACGTGGCTCTCACTGTACTGACAGGGGTCTTACCCTGACCCCAGTGTCATCTGCCTCAGCCCCGCCTGCTCTGCTCAACACAGAAATAAGGGATGGGGAGGACTCACCCACAGCTGCCCAGATCCTCAGACTCACACAGAATCCTAGAAGGAAAAGCCTGTCAGAGATGGCTTGTCCCAGTGGACCCCAAGCTCCTTGCACCCGCATCCAGGGAACCTGGTCAGTGGCGTGAAGACCGCTGATTTCCACCATAAACCTCTCCTACCAGGTCTTTCCAGACTCACCGAGACTCAGGAGGCTGAGGAGTGTGGGGCACATGGCTCTGCTTCTGTGAGGCAGGAGGCAGGACTGAGCAAAGCTGACCGAGTCACAGGATGCGGAAGGCGGGCGGTGTTCATACAGTCAGCCTGGTGCGTGTCACAGGGGAAGATGGGCAGCCTCTTCTCGCACCAAGGATGGAAGTCTGACCTGAGCCTCCTCACTGAGCACACCTCATGACTCTGGCGTCACTTTTTGTTTCCCTAAACACCGAGGATTTGAACAGATCTTACTACCTTTAGGAAGTAGTAACGGTGATTCAGTGTATAGCATGCAAGATCCTTTTCCTAAGCTCATGATAGATGTCATTAACCTTAACTTTTTGCAGAAGAGAAATCACATGTTCCCACCTCGTATCTAAGGCTAAGTGCAGATGGCCAATTAAAGACTCATTAATAGAGACTTTGATTCTGCATTCTTATAAGAGAAGGAGACATGTGTATTATGGCTTTTAGAAAATTAAAAAAAAATTCTATAGTGGGGCATATGTGATTAAGAAACTAACTGTTAGTTTCAGTGTACAACAAGGTGATTCAGTTATGCACACACATGTATCTACTGCTTTTCAAATTCTTTTCCCACTTAGGTGGTCACAGAATAGTAAGCAGAGTTCCCTGTGCTATCCAGTAGGCCCTTGTTGGTCACCCATTCTAAATATAGCCATGTGTATATGTCGAACCCAAACTGCCAATCTATCTCTCCCCCCACCCACCATCCCACCTGGTAACTGTAAGGTCATTCTCTGTGAATCTGTTTTGTAAATAAGTTCATTTTCTTAGATGTCACCAATAAGCGATATCAAGTGATATTTGTCTTCCCCTGACTCTTCTTCTTTATCTGAAAATGTTTCTGAACTATGAGTGGAAACTTTGCACACATACACTCTCTCTGTCTCTCTCTCTTGCGTCCTTTCCAATCCAAGGACCACACGTGTACAGAAAGAAAATGAGTGTAAAATGAGTGTGGGGGGCTTTGGGGGAAAAGAAAATTGTTTTGCTAGGAAAGGTGGACAACCTTGCTTACTACATAAAAATGTGTAAGGTAGAGACTTCCAAAGTCCAGAATGCTTGAGTGAGCAGGGTGTCCACAAGAATCAACTGCAAACCAGGAAAAAATGGCCAGCCGTTTCAGGTCTGTAAAGGCAGACATACACCCGGTTCTGCTTTTGTTCACAGACAAGAAAGAACCTCAGTAAGGGCAGTGATTCCACACCATGTTGCTGGGGGTGGGTTGTTAACGTTAGTGATGCTCCCTAAGTAATAAATCTGGTCTCCTCCTGATCATTATGTATGTAATGGAGTAACAATACAGTCACCCTTCTTAAAATTTCCTTGTATTTCCTTAATATCATGTTTCAAAATAGATCTGTATTCTTTGTCATTTCAGCTTGTGCATTTTACTGCACAATCATTGCAGATATATAAACCACACATTTTTTAAAAGTAAAAAAATTTGTTGAAGTTAGTTCATGTCTTCTGTACAGCAAACTTGATCCAGCTTGACACATATATTCTTTTCCATTATACTTTATGGCAAGATACTGAATAGAATGCCCTGCGCCATACTGTGGGATCTGACTGTTTATTCATTTTGTGTGTAAATATATTTCACCTGCTCATCCCAAACTCCAACCCTTCCCTCCCCCTTGGCAACCACAAGCCTGTTCTCTATGTCTGTGAGTCTGTTCCTGTTGCATTGATACGTTCCTTTTAGAGTCCACATGCGGGTGATAACACATGATAATTGTCTTTCTCTTTCTGTCTTACTTCACTTAATATGTTAATCTCCAGGTCCATCCATGCTGCTGTAAATCTCATGACTTCATTTTTTAAATGTCTGAGTAGTATTCCATTGCGTGTGTGTATATGCGTATACAACGTCTTCTTTATCCATTCATCTGTCGATGGACATTTAGATTGTTCCCATGTCTTGGGTATTGTGGGTTGTGCTGCTGTGAACACAGGGGTGCATGAATCTTTTCAAAGTATAGTTTTTTTTTCCGGGTATATGCTCAGGATTGGAAAATTGTGTGATCACATGGAAACTCTGTTTTTGGTTTTTTGAGGAACCTCCATACTGTTTTCCACAGTGGCTGCAACAGTTTACCCTCCCCCAACAGTGTAAGAGGGTTTCCCTCTTCTCCCCATGCTCTCCAGCATCTATTATGCATCAACTGCTTAATGATGGCCCTTCTGATCGGTATGAGATGGTACCTCATCGCAGTGTGAGTTGGCCTTTCTCTACTAATGAGCAATGCTGAGCATCTTTTCATATGCCTGTTGGCCATCTGCGTATCTTCCTTTAAACAACAGATATCAATTGTGAGAGCGATGTCTATGGATTTCGTCTAAAATGAATGACACCTCTGCTGATGTCTCATGAATGTGCTCTGAGTCCAACCTCATGTTGCTTGTCATTGGGCAGAATGATGAGGTCTTCAGGAAAGGAATAGTGACTTTATATGGAAAGGCAGCAGACCAATGAGATGGTGAACTCGTGCCCCAAAGAATCATCTAATCAGAGTTAGATGGGCTTTTTTTGAAGGGGAGGGATGGTCAAACAGTGTTTACTGAATGTAAAGAACCCCAGCCTATGGGGAAGAAAATTCCAAGGAGAGGAGAGAAGTATACAGCTTAAATACCCACCTGTGAGCTCACACTTTCACACACACACACACACACACACACACACACACACACACACACACACTCTAAAAGGGGAGGAGGTATAGCTGGCTGTTGCCAACTTTCAATTAATTAGTTAATGGCTGTGCTGGGTCTTCATTGCTGGGCACAGGCTTTCTCTAGTTGCGGGAAGGGGGGCTGTTCTTTGCTGTGTGCAGGGTCTCTCACCACCGTGGCTTCTATTGTTGTGGAGCACCTGCTCTAGGCACATGGGCTTGTGGCCCACAGGCTTAACTGCCTCCTGGCATGTGGAATCTTCCCATTCTCGGGATCGGGCCTGTGTCCCCTCCATGGGCCGGCCGATTCCCACCACCGGACCACCAGAGAATTCCTGATGCAAGGTTTTCCCCCCTTAATTCATTTATTTTTAATGAAGGGACAATTGCAATGCTGTGACGGCTTCTGCCATACATCAACACGGATCAGCCATAGCCATACTCATGTCCACTCCACTGTGGAAAACTTTTAATGCTGGAATCCTTTGTCCTTGAAGCTTTCCATGTAGGTCAGGTCATAATATCCCTTTAAGGCCCCAGCAAGACAAAAGCTTCTGTCTGTTCTCCAACTTTTTATCTCTGTACGAATGGGAAAGTGTCATACCTTTCAAGTCCAGAGCCTTGAGAATAGTCTTAGTCCCTCAGTCACGTCCACTCTCTGTGACCCTATGGAGTGTAGCCCACCAGGCTCCTTGTCCATGGAGTTCTCCAGGCAAGAACACTAGAGTGTGTTGCCATTTACTTCTCCAGCCTGAGAATGGGTTCTCCTCTATTCCAAGCTCATGGCAACGTTCTGTAATAAAAGAGCCAGCATGACTAAGCACAGACAGTTGAGCCCAAGGGTTAGAGCCGAAGGAACAGATCCAAGAGGAAGTCAGATCCAGAGGTGCGTGGCTCTCCCTTTGAATGGTAAGTGTTACCAACTCCCCGACTGCTGCAGTCATGTGTCCTCCCACCAGTCACATGGTGCTTCTGCGTCATCGCTCAGTTGTGTCTGACTCCCTGTGATCCCATGGGCTGCATCCTGCCAGGCTCCTCTGTTGGGATTCTCCAGGCAAGAATACTGGGGTGGGTTGCCAGTTCCTCCTCCAGGGGATCTTCCCCAAGCCAGGGATCGAACTCAGGTCTACTGCATTATGGTGGATTTTTATCTTCTGAGTCACAAGGGAAGCCTGCCAGTAACATAAGGAAACTCACTATTTCTTCCCACAATTAACATTGCCATTGTTTTCCATTTAGTTTCAGTGAGGCCATGGTGGGAGTCTGGCATCAAGCTTTCACTATCAGTGAAACTCAGAGTTCCAGCGGAACTCTGAGCTGGAATGTACGATAAATTTTTAAACAGAAGCATGAATAGAATGATAACGTTCAAATTAAAAAAATAGATATGCAACTAGCAGCAAAGATTTACCAAATACTACAAAGAACTATAGTCAATATCTTGTAATAACCTAAAATGGAGAATAATCTGAAAAATACCACGTGTATATATAACTGAATCACCTTACTATGCACCTGAAACAGTGTAAGTCAACTAACTTCACTCAAATATATAGATATTATGAACTTTAGAAAATGAAACCTGTAAAATAAATTTTAAAATGAAATGAAAGAAAGTGAAGTCGTTCAGTCATGTCTGGCTCTTTTTGACCCCCTGGACTGTACCCTGGCAGGCCCCCTGTCCATGGGATTTTGCAGACAAGAATACTGGAATGCATTGCCATTTCCAGCTCCGAATAGTGCAGGCCAACTCCAGCATACTCCTTCATGGTCTGTGTACTCACTTACACATTCCAACTCTGCCTACAGTGTATTCACATGGGAACTCTGAACCTGCCTAAAAGAGTCTCAGCTGAGATGGTGGGTTTCTGGAAGGTCCCTGGAAGGAAGTCAGAGGCTGAGTCCCAGGACCTCCCCACCCCTCACTCCCCAGCTCAGCACAGGAGCCCTTCCAGGTTTCACCAGCATCCCAGAGCCCCCACCTCACCCCCCACTGAGTTTCTAGGGCTCAAGTGAGACATGGGTCCCAGGAGACTTGAGAGGACCCGCCTTCAGGGTTTGGGGTCTTCTGGCCCAGACTCAGCCCTGGAAGTGAGAGATTTGCCAGCAAAAGCTTGGGCTGATTCTCTTCCCATCAGTATCCCTGGTCCCTCCTGCTGTCCAAGACTTGAGGTTCCTGTGAAGTGGGGGAAGGTGGGTGTCCCGTGTACTCCTGCTTTCCCCTCCCTGCCCTCCACAACCGGCCGAGGCAGAGAAGCGCAGAGAGGATGGAAGGCATGTCTGCAGCTCTGAGCACCCAGCTGCCCCCGCCCTCACCCTGTACAG